AACTGTGGCAAACTTTATGTAAAATATTTATGTGTTGGATCCCTGCAATCCAAACTTGAATGTGTGGTTAAACTTTAACCCAAACAACATGGGCTCAGTGTTGTGTGAAAGTTCTAGCCAGTCACATTCAGTCCCAGTGGATCCTCAGGGACCTTGGATTGCACCTTCTGAGTTTCAGATAACCATGTGAACTTGGATTTCCCCTTTTGAGTTTCACGGTAACCATGTAAGAGGGCTTTTATTCACATTATGTAGACCCCAAACTTGTGCTGCCATCTCATGTTTTCAGCTTATTTGAGGCATGTTTATTTTATCATAGAACCTACTTACTCCATTCACATCCACTCATGGATGTAATCATGATAACAAACTGATTCTAGATCTATTGTTTAGGACCAGAGTGACTCTTTGTGTCCATTTACCATTAATCCTACATCCCACCCCAACCCTTTGCTTCAGTTTCTACTTTCATGAACTACATAAAAATGAAGACATAGAGTACCGTATTATCTTTTGTCCTGTCAATCAGTGTGATGCTCTCAAGGCTTATGTACAGCTTAGCATGAGTGGTTCCTTTCTAATGTTGATCGTGTTCTATCACGATAGCATGAGTACATTATGCTGTTTAGTTACCTACTGATGGACATTCAGGTTGTTTCCTGCTTTGGAATACTATGACTAATGTGCCTATAAATATTTGTGTGGAACTCTTTTCATGGGCATGAGTTTTCATTTTTGGGGGGAGGTGGGTAGGTACCCAGGAGTGGAATTACTGGGTTGTGCAGTAATTATATGCTTGTGATTTTTAGAAGATGCTGAAGTATTTTCCAAAGCAGTTTCCACATTTCATTTTAATGTTTTCTTTATTGCCAAAGGGGGGGATATCATGTTCCATCACTCAGTCATTCATAGCCCTTGTATAGGTTTTCCACATGTAATGGACAATTGCCTTATAAATAAAGAATATATAAATGAAATAATCACTTCCTTCAAGATACTCTCATCTGTAGGAGAACCAGGCAAACAACCTGGTCACAACACCCTGAGAGGTCTGTGAAGGAAGCCAACTCCCAGTTCTGAAGACAAACATGAGGGAACCTGTCCCAGACTTGTGGGAACAGGTCCCACCCATTATGACTCTTGGAAAGTCACACAAGAGGGTCAGGTGGTGGAGTTTAGTATCATCAGAGATAAGCAGGCATTCGTCCCTGCTCACACTCCCCAGTTCCATTGTGGTGCTCAGCCTCACACAATTATACAGCCACAATAGGTAATCCCCATTTTCATGTTGAACTTTTTGTCTCTTCTCTCAAGAGATGAGGTCTCTGCCTTGCTCACTACTATATCCTCACACATGTGACACAGTGAGGAGGCCCTGAAGATATCCTTTGACTAGATGAATGTATGGAAAGTTTCACTTTTTTAGTGAAAGAGAAGAGAGAGTCTAAGGGAGAGATGAACACAGATGATTGACACTGGAGGCTGGATCAGCAGCTTTGCCCAAGTCCTTGATGTTTGAACTCCACCAGTTTTGACATAGTAAGACTTTGGTTCTACCTAATGGTTCTGCTGGAGGGTGGGGGTGGGTGGGTACAGAGCCAGAGGTGCCAGGGGAAGTAGATGGGCTGACTTAAAAGGAAGTTTGGTGTGTAGTCACAGAATACCTTATGACAGATGGCCCAATGCTATGTGCTGCTTCGCTTAAGACTGATGAGTTTGAACAGTGGCTGGAGGACAATGCATTTAAAGATCACGTTAGGGTTCTGGGGAAATTAGCAGGTCCCACTATATGACTGTGAGGTGAGTTTTTTGAAAGTTAGGAATCGTTAAAGGGAAGGATACCATTCAAGTCAGTTTTTTTTAAAAAAATGGATCAGGCAGGAACAGATCTGAAAGGGTAGGAGGAGGAGAAGGAGGAGGAAAAGAAGAATGCTGTCATTCCATGAGTAGTTACCCATTGTGATTGCACTGCTGAGGCATTTTTTTTTTTCAGGTTAAATAAGCAAGGGACATTTTTGACACAGCTTCTGTGACATTGAACACTGCTCAGATGTCTTCAAAATAGTGACAAGGAGCTGCTGTGTATGAGAAGGATGGTTCCTGAAGAAACTTTGTGCAATGGCCCCGCTCAAGTTTCTTTGGATCTCTATTTGAAAGAAGCTCAACCTTTTCAGTTATGCAGAAAGGGAAACGAAGATACATAATTTATCTTTCATTAGTTTAAAAAAATTGCATTGTTTATTGGGGTCAGAGGGCAATTTCCAGGAGTCTGTTCTTTCCTTACACTACATTTTTGATCCTGGGGTTAGAATTCAGTTTGTGAGCCTTGGTGGCAAACACCTATACCTGCTGAGCCAGCTTGCCAAATCCATTAATTTATTTCTAATGAATGCAAACATTAGTAAAAGCAATACTTTTGTTTATGGGTGGTGGTGGTGGTGGTGGTGGTGGTGGTGTGTGTGTGTGTGTGTGTGTGTGTGTATGTGTGTGAGTACATGTTTATGGAGGCTAGAGGTCTATTTAGGGCATCTTTCTCAATTGTTCTCCTCCTTACTTTTTCATACAGGAGTTCCCTAATCTGGTTAGACAGACTGGCCTGCAAGGCCCAGGGACCCTCCTGTCTCTGCTTCTCTAGTGCCTGGATTATAGGTTATAGTCACCATGCCCAGCTCTTTCCATGGGTTCTTGGGGTTGAATCTAAATCTGTATGCTTTTGTGGTAAACACTTTTTACCAGCTGAGCCATCTTCTCATCCCTGTTGTTTTATTTTCCATTGATTTTTATGTTATTTCCACATGAAATTAGCGTGTGGTATGGCCTAGAGGCATATGTAATGACATGAATTGGGTGTCTAGTTTTGCTCCACAAGAACATAGTTTTCTTTGTTTTAATTTTTTCAGTTTGTTTTTGGCTGAGTAGAGGATGGGGACATTGGAGAAGTTGAAATTGTGGAATTAATTAGTTCTCAGCCATAAAGCGCTTTCTGCTGAGGTACTTAGGCTTCATCGAAAAGAGCAAGTGGGAATCACGCAGGGTTTTAATTAGAGGAGAGACATGAAGCATGTTCACAATGTAGAGATCTGCTGTGGTGGTTATATTTGGATTCTATATTGGGTTAAAGGAGAGAATTAGAAAGAGCGGGACTGGCTTTGGAGGTCTTTGCTGCAATATAACAGAAAGCTGACGGTAATGGACAAGACGTGACATGATAGAAATAGATGAATGAACCATCTGTGGAGGATGCAACCATAGCACAACTTTGTGTTTACCTGCATGAATTTTGGGAAGGATTGTCTTGGTTCATCTTCTATAACAAAATACTGAAGGCTGGGGAGCTCGTAAAGAAGAAGTATGCTTATTTAGTTCCTAATTCTGAAACCTGCTTGGCTTCCAGCAAGGACCACATACAGCTTGTATGATGGAGAAACAGGAGGCATAGTGGTTGTGCACAAAGGGATCCTAGCATGTGAGGTGCTTTCTTACAACAACCTATTCTCTCAGCAGGGAAACCAGTCTCCAGAAAATAAGAATTCACTCTCATGAGAAAGACTTTGGTTCCCAGCCACTTGTTTAACATAGTCACTCATTTGTTCATCATGTGTTTGTGGTGTGTGTGCAGTCTCATGTGTGTGCATGGAGATCACAAGGAGCATCTCAGTTGTCCTACTCCATCACTCTCCCCCTTATTCTTTTGAGCCAGGGTCTCTCACAGAACCTAGAGCTAGGCTGACTGCCAGATAGCCCCAGAGAACCTTCTGTCTTTGTCTCCTAGAGCACTAGTGTTATAGGTATGCATGACACTATGCCTAGCATTTCATGTGGGTGTTTGAGATTTGAAATTATGTTGTCATGTTTGTACAGCAGATGTTTTTTATCTGTTAAGTCATCTCTCTAGACATGACTTATTTAGCTTTTACTTCATTTTTTTTTTAAATCTTGTTATTTGAGAATGTTATATATTTTGGTCATATTTACCCCTTACTCCCTCTCTATCTCCTGTAATATACATCCTGTATCTCCCCACCCCCAACAAACTTCCTGTTCTCTTTTACTTATTTTTAATAACTCAGTTTTTGCAGTTCGTATGCTCAGGGTATAAGACCATTCCATGAGGGGTAGTTAACCTATGAGGGGCCACATCCTTAGAGAAGACTGACTGTCACTCCCTGAGAAGCTATGATAAAATATTTCCCAGTTAGGGATGGGGACTCACAAGGCCATCTCTTCTCCCTGCTAGAATGCTGACTGGCTTGATCTTATGCAGGTCTTGTGTGGGCAGCCACAGCTCTGAGTTCGTGAGTGAAATGGCTTTGTCATGTCTGTTAAGTGCTGTGTTTATCCAGGCTCCCTCAAGTCCTAACAACCAGCAATGTGTATCTGTGTGTTTGCCAACCTCACCGTCTGGGCTCTGTCCACCATCTCAAGGCTGCTGCTGAGGTTTCGCCTCCTGTGCTTGTGGCTCGCCACACTGTGGCGGGGAAACGATGCTGAGCAGGCCTCTGGGCTCAGCAGGAAGTAGGCCGTAGATAGGTTAACTTTGTGGGTTTCATGAGGACAGAAGGGGAGCGGGGGCAAGCACAGAACCGGCTGTATATTGACCATCCCTAAGCTGTATCATGTCATTTCTTTTTTATTATTTTTTATTTATGGAGATAGGGTTTTTCTGTATAGCCCTGGCTCTCCTGGAACTTGCTCTATAGACCAGGCTGGCCCAGAACTCACAGAGATCTGACTGCCTCTGCCTCCTGAGTGCTGGTACTAAAGGCATGCACAACCACTAAAGGCTTGGCTCTCATGTTACTGCTTTGAAAAGTTTCCGTTGGTGTCTTTTCAGAATACTCACTTCTTCCATAAACAGTGCACCCAAGTTCATGGCTAGTTAATGCTGCTTCACAGAGATTCTACTTCATTTCACTTACACTCGGTCTAGTTCATGCTGTCAGTATGTGGAAGTCCATCATCAGAGTATTTTTACTTTGTGTGCTCTGTGTTTGTTTCAGGCAGAGAAAGCTGACGGATTTGTCAACCTGCCAGATTTCACAGTGGAAAGAGCCTCTGAATGCAAGAAAAAACAGTGAGTCTTCTCTTTTTCCTGCCCGTCAAAGTCCTGGGCCAGGATTGTAGCCATTTTCAATGTTCACCTAGTAATGTGTTGATTTGGAAGTGGATGAAGGTATAATTCAAATGTTTGAGAATTTTGAACATTATGAGTTGGCACTGTAAAAATATGCTCATAGAAAATGTACATAGAAATGTTAACCTCTTATTTTCTGGCATGTCAACCAGGGGTGGTGGTGGATGGGTTTTAACTACTTCATCCCCTGCGCCCAACACACACAAAAGCAAGGGAATCAATGTCAAGGTTTTGATCTTGTAGAGAACAAATAGCAAGAATAGCAAAGTGGGGGTCACTAGACAGAGTTGTAGACCCTATAGCAAGACCAGGTCATCTTAGTTCACGCTATTATTAGTACCAGCCTTGTCATTCAGTTTTCTGATGCACTTGGGTTGGGATTGCATCGTGCTGTAGAATAAGTGTGAGCAGTGATGGGGTTGAAGTAGGCTCAAGCTCATGGTTCTTGTTTTGCTAAGAAGAAGAGAACCTGGTGGGTCTAGGAACAGCCAAGAGCTCTCTAGAGAGCTGGGTAGTCACTCTAATCACATGGTCATTTCGTACCATGACTTACTATTATGTCTTCTTTCATCCTTCTCTTATCCTTTCTTCAGTGTTTTCTCCTTTATTACTGGAAAGGAACATTTCTTCACTGATAAGAAATGAATTATTTTCTTGGGAAGCAGTGTTAGCTTTTATTCTTTGCTATACTGGTATAATATCTGTGTCTTGTTTTGCATTGCTTGTGTTGATGCTTGTGGTTTTTGACTGGTTATTAAACAAAACAACAACTCTGTGCTATTCTTTGGAACTTCTGGTGTGATTGGTGAGTGGAAACATTTTGCTTGCTGTCACCGATGGGCCATAGATTTCCTTTAACTAAAGTAATTTGTACTTTTCCTTTACCAATACAGAGCCCCTTATCTCTATGGCTTCTGAAGAGTCATGTGGTATGGAAGTTGCATAACTGATTATTTTCAGATAGCTAAAACTTTACTGTATATTTGGTTGAATTTAAATAATACCTTGCTTGAATGAATTGAATACTGTTCAGTGGAAATTCAGGGACTCTCAACTTGAATGTATTGTCTCTACACCTTTAGAAAGTTAGCAGGTGAAAAAGATATGTGCACGTGCACACACACACACACACACACACACACACACACACACACACACACACACACAAATGGAAACTACTGAGTGCTAAGATGCAGTGCTGACATGATAAATTGACTCTCACTTCACTAAGTGAAATAGGGACTAGATAATAGGTATTTAATATAATTACTTTAAAAACACTAACACTTTTCTCCTTTCTAGTGCATTCAAGATCAACCACCCACAGATCAAAGCCTTCTACTTTGCAGCAGAGAATTTGCAGGAAATGAATGTGTAAGTAGAGGAGACTGGTGTATCCAGTCCCTAAAAGAATCAACTTACTTCGGACAGGCATCAGAATTTTAAAGCCAACGATCATGTCAGTTATTGTCCTATTTATTTTTGTTATTTAAGTTTGTTCTGTTAATTCCCCTAGCAACTATAAAACCATCTTGCTTTCTCCTCCAGCATGTGTAGTCATTTGGGGACATACACTTATCTAAATGGCTGTTTCAGGGAGTAGTTGTAAGATTCTTCCTAAGGAGCCACAGAGAGGAGAGAGTAGACAGAAGGTGATATGGTGTGGAGCATTTGCATCACCAGGAGAAGGACCCAAAGGAGTTGTGGAGCCAGTCTCCCAGCTTTCCACATCCCCAGGCTGTCTCTGCAGCTTCTAGCATGTGCTGTGTAATTATCACAAAGGCTCATGGACTTATCACCCGTTTCTCCAAGTATCACCTGAACATTGACTTCCGGTGCATCCGACTTTTAAAAATACCCTAGCTCTGTTTTCGGCTTTCTCTGTTAAGTCAATGCACTCAATTCCCACTGCCCTCCTGGTTTAGATGAAGATGCATTGCATCCGCTGTAATTTGAATGATGTGGTCTATGAGGTGCTGCCTTGAGGCAGCGGAGGACATCCTCTAACTTAAAAAGGCTGTTATCGAGCTGGGCGGTGGTGGCTCACGCCTTTAATCCCAACACTCGGGAGGCAGAGGCAGGCAGCTCTCTGTGAGTTCGAAACCAGCCTAGTCTACAAGAGCTAGTTCCAGGACAGCCTCGAAAGCCACAGAGAAACCCTGCCTTGAAAAAAAACCAAAAACCAAAGACTTATTGATATCTACAAGACCATCATATAATAATTTAATGTTTATGGAACATCTATAGTATACCCCATCACCAAGGGGGTATACTCCCCCACTCCCACAATTCCTCCCTTCATAGAGTTTATACTGAAACACTGCTGTCTATTGTACATGAGAATTTCATTGCTTGTCTTCCATTCATGATCCATCTTTGCCTTATTGTTTCAGAAAATGAAATAAAATAGATGCTATCTTCCATCATACACCTCCAACCCCCTTCAGGTCACGTCTTCTATAGTGCTGTCTAGCTAGGAGCCTTCTTTTTTGTTATGTCCACTTAGCTTACCCTCACCTCATCTCTTCAGATGAGGACAAATCGCTCATAGGAAGTTGGGAAACAATGGGTTGGATAACAGAGAAGGAATTGATAACAGTGTCTTGGAAACATATCTTTGATAAAGAAAGTATCTGTTTCTACACTCTCTATGATTGAAGCTTTCATCCTTCCCTTGCCTTTCTCAAGTGTCTGAGGGGGAAAAAAAGAACAGACACATCAAGAAAGGGAATATATTCTTCAAATGCCATCACTCATCTCTGATGGCACTGGTGACTCAGTCCAGCAGATTTGCAGTCCCATGTTCCTCAAGTGTCCAGAAGAGGGTAGTGCTCCCAACTAAAGGTACTTACAACCTAGAGGTGGTGACTGCCAGTCTGCAGCTGAGTCACTCCTGAAGTTCACAGGGCCGCCTCTGGCCAGTAGTGGCAGGGAGACAGGGCTGCCCACCATCCCACCCTGATAGCTTCTCTAACAGCACCTGGGCATCATGTATCTTTAGCTTTATCTCCATTATCATCTTTCCCACCCATCTTGTGGCTGATCCTTTGAAAACAGTTTTCATCTTCTCGACGAGGGCTGAGTGAAAGAAATGGTCCCAGAGAAAGAGTTCTTCTGAGTGCATTGTTACCTAGCGAGTGCCTCCTACACAGAACAATCCATTTTCAATCAAGAGGAGGTCAGACTCTTATGAGATTATTGGAATCTATTGCACTTCAGGCACTCTAAGCCACACATCAAGGTTATTTAGCTCCCTGTCCCTGGCTGCCACCAGCTCAGCCTTTGTTTCTATCTTCACACTTTATAGACTTTCTTTCCATTTGCTGTTCCTATTTAATGGCAGGTCTTGTATGAGTTCTAGCTATAGATACCTTTTCCATTGTTGGCTAGTAACTCAACACCTGTCACCACAATCAAGGTTAAACTTTATTGCCAGTCTGTGCTGTGAAGAGCATTAGCTGACTTGAAATTCTGTATCCTTTTCAAACTCACAAACAAGCTATAAATTGAAATCTGAATTTTGGGTGGCCTGGACTCTGATTTTGAATCTCTCTAGTTGTCTTTATATTTTAAAGGATAATTTTAATCATAGTCCTTAAATTGCTTGCTTTGAGACTCATGGCTACATGACCCATTTGCCTGTGCCTGGACACATGATGATTTCTTATATCTGTAATATCATTGCCCTAGTTTCATTTCTGCTTCTGTCATAAAATGTCCTGACAAAAAGCAACTTAAGGAAGAAAGTGTTTATTATACTTACAATTCTAGGTTCCAGTCTATTGTTGTTGGGAAGTCAAAGCATGAACTTCAAGCATCCTATCCACAGTTAAGTGCAGAGACAGCAAGTGCCTGGATCCTTGCTGGCTTGCTCTCTTTTGCTTAGCTCGCTTTCCTCATTCTTACACAGTTCAGGATCCCAGCCAAGGGAGTGTTACTTCCCACAGCGGGCTGGGTCTTCCTATATCAGTAGCAATCAGGACAGTGCCCAGAGACATGCCCATGGACCAACCTGATGTAGGCAATGCCTTCACTGAGATGCTCTGCTCTGGTGATTCTAAGCTGTGCCAACCTCACAAAGCTAATGGTCACAAACATTCCTGAGCTTTCTTATTCTTAAGACAATTCTTCCAAGAGCCAACAAGGGAGAACCTCTCTGGACTACCAAGTTTGTCCTTTCTCCTACAAGATTATGCAGATGATACCTAGAGATTTCTTTATCAGTGGTTCCTGGAAGTTCCTTTTTCTCTTGATGGAGCCTGTTGAAACTAGTTAATAATGAATCTAGGAATGACTTGGGGGGGGACCCATGGGGAGGGAAGGGGAGTCTTTTCAGTTGTCAGTCATTCAACTCTTTGGATACCTATATATTTTTTTCTTGGGGGGGGGTGACATTTTTCTCAAGCAGAGAAGTCCATTTATTAGAAATCTCTCATACTTAATGAAATGACATACATTTAAATGACCCTCAATTTCCAGATGTAGGAGTAAGTTATTATGAGTAATGGAAGAGTCAGTTTTAAGCAAAGATGTGGGCTTGCTGCCTGTCTCAGGTGGTATTCACAGGAAGAATGAGGGGCCCAGCTGTTTGGTCAAACACTTATTTCCCATTTGAATCTTAGGTGGTTAAACAAACTTGGATTTGCAGTCATCCACCAGGAGTCCACTACAAAGGATGAAGGTATGTTCTGTTTTACATTTCTGAAAATTTAGCAAGTGTATTAGGATAGAATGAGTCAGGATGAAGAAAGAGACAGTTCCGGTTCTATGTATAGGCTGACCCTGGGGAAACATAGTTTGACATTTGAAATGATCTGAAAGGTACAGACAGCCATCTTCTTCACACAGACTCACCATGGAGCTGAGCCTCCCTGCCAACTCGAAGAGATTTCACACTTCACCCACACTTGAGCAGCTGCAGGCTTCTCTGATACTCAGACAATTGCCAATGCAAATGTTTTAGTGCCCTCCTTACAGAGCTCTTACTCACGGACCTGAATGTGTCATGATCCAGTCAGATCGCTTGCATCCCACCATTTCCTCTGACAGGTTAACCTTTCTGCCAGGTGTGTGTTGACATTAATTACCTCGAAATTGTTCTTGCAATGCAAAGATCGGGCTGGAGACACACCATGTTCAGGCCTCACAAGTCTACATCCTCATAATATTATTAGCCTTTAGTGTGGGGAATAGAGATGCTGCAGGTGCCAGGGTCACTGACACGTACTGGTGCTGAAACACAGATCTCGGAGCAGTCAGATATCATAAGGAGAAAGTTATGTGTTTGATTATGAAATCTTAAGTTTAGAAATGGAAAAATGGCCAATGTGAACCAATAAGGGAATTCATTACAATGTTGTGGAGCTAACATCTAACTACCATGTTAGTCCTCTTTCCCATGAGGTAAGCATCCATTGGTTATCAACTGGGGAACAGAGACCTGCGTAGAAGGATTTATCCTGGTGTTTAAGATCTTTTTTGAGATGTTGCCTCTATACCCCTAAAGCTTCCTCTTACAGGATCATCCTCGGGGATCTCCATTTTTTGTGTCTCGGCCTATTTGTTCAGTCTTGTCCTTCTCTTGCTGTTTTGGGGTACCAACCATGGCTGAGTTATCAGTCAGACTCAGCTCCCATCTATACCACTGATGGTGTTATAATGACTCACACATTTTAAAGGAATTCTTTTATTATTTTTTTCTGAGTCACAGTAGCCCCCATCTTTCATACTAGATGCTCTCTGACAACAGAAACTGCCATGGGGGTGGGACACTCGTTTCTCCCATTTTTGAGTTTCTTTTCATTAGGTCATGCCATAGATTTCTTGCTTTCTATTTTTCTTTCCTTTTTGGATGCTTCCTCTTTGAATTAGACTGAGATCGTAATAGACAGATGGAGAAAAACCTTTGCTCATACATTATGGAATAAGTGATGAGAGCCTTGAAACCTGAAGCACTTTTTTCTTCTGATTACAGAATGTTACAGTGAGAGTGAGCAGGAAGATCCTGAAACAGCCTCGGAGACGCCACCCCCTCCATGTGCTTCCGCAACTTCCTCTCCTGTGGTACGAGTAGATGTGAGTGTAATCTGTTGGTCACTAATCCAATGTGTGGATGTCACTTCTGGTTATACATAGACTACCTCGGCCAGTAAATTTTTACAATGGACCAAGTTAAGGTGCCTTCCAGAGAGCAAGTGAAATTCTAGGGGTGCTGACTTAGGGTGCTGATGTAGAGCCTTCTCCTTAGCAACCCACAGGAATGACAATCTTGCTGTATTTGTTCATCACCCACAGATGGACTGGATCACAGTCAGAGGATGTATGGAGATGCAAAGGTCTTTTGAGTGGCAGCCCACCCCCTGCAGAGGCTGATTTTGCAGTGTGTTATGCCCTACTTATTTTCTGAAGGGATGTCAGGTGCCTTGCCTCGGTGACTGTGATCCAACAATGCAAAAATGAATTTAAAAGTGATATGAAAGATAGAGCACAAAAAGAGAAACAGTTAGAGACAGCAACTAGGGGGTCATCTCATTAAGAATGCATATGGACCCGTGTGGTGTGTTCCCAAAGGAGGGTCCAAGTTGTATCCTAAGCTTTGGAAGTTCAGGTCTTCATGGATGCCAATACTTTGGAGAATTACTTCCTGTTTGGATATATGGTCCCTAGCAAGGGGCACACTGGGGTCTCTGAGGATATAATTTTTAAAAATTAATTAATTAACAGGTAATTATTATTATTTTGTGTATGTCTTTGAAACTCATGACCTCCTGCATGCTAACACATGCTTTATATCTGACCCACACTAACAGCCAGATTTACAGCTTCTATGTTTCTCAAGTTCCAGGTGCTTTAAATGCATGATCATTTAATGTTCACACAACCTAGAGAAACAGTAGTATTTTATTTGGCCTTTACAGATCACATGAGGCCAAACCCCTTTCTATGGCTAGAGACATTTGTATTTCCTCCTCATGTTTTCTGCCTCCCCTTCCTATTCCTCTTGCTTGTTCTTGATTGATGGGGTCTCCCAGTTTGCCCCTCTCTATATTTGAAATAACATGTATTTGTCATACATACTTGTCAGCTATAAGTAAGCCATTCTTACTTATTATTTTTTTAAATGCTTTCATGGTTTCTTCTTACAAATGGCTGTTTGTGAGTTTAATAGCTCAGATTTACCCATCCTTTTCTTTTTATTGAACTTAGTGTCTTTTTCCCCCCCTGTTTTTGAAAATTGCTCCCTCTCCCAAGACCGTGAGGAGGTTGATCTTACTGTCTTCATTTCCTGACAGTGAAATCTTTTTGGAATTGTACCATGATACTTGTCCCATTCACAGACCTGAAGTCCAGCATTCCATGTTTGAACTTAAAGAAATGTAGGGACTCTTCTAAGAGCTAAAAGTTAGATTAGCAAACTTGGATGATTCTCTATTTTTTCCAAGTCATTAGTCAAATGTTGTTTGTTTGCTTTTTAAGGCATGGTCTCATTTGGCCCAAGCTGGCCTTTCACTTGCTATATAGCCAAGGATGATTTTGCACTTGAATGAAGATTTCTTATCTTCATTCACCACCCCCACATTTCGATACTGCAATTATAAACGTATACCACCACACTTGGTTTTTATGTAGTGCTGGGGATATAACCCAGGACAAATACACTACCAACTGAGCTGCCTACCCTTAAATGCTGCTTCTTAAATTGAAAGTCATCTGGTGGTGGAAATGCACGCCTTTAATCCCATCACTTGACAGGCAGAGGCCGGAGGATCTCTGTGTGTTTGAGGCCAGTCTGGTCGACAAAGCTAGTTCCAGGTCCGATAGGGCTGCATAGAGAAACCCTGTCTTGAAAAACAAAAAAAAATAAACAAGCAAAACATTGCAAGTTTGCCACTTTTAACAGATCTTCTCTGTTATCTTGTTAAGTAATACAAGATAAAATAGTCAGGTAAATGTCAGGTAGTGTTTTGCCAACTTAATATAAGCTACTGTTATCTGAGAAGAGTATCTGACAATTAGGAAAATACATACATCACATAGCCTGGAGGCAATTCTGTGGGGCATTTTGTTGATTTATGATTGATGTGGGAGGGTCCAGCCCACTGTGGGTGGCGCCATCCCTAGGCAGGTAGTCCAGGTGGTATAATAAAGCAAGCTGAGAAAGCCACTGAGAGCAAGTGGGTAAGCAGTGTTCCTTGGTGGCTTCTGTTTCAGTTTCTGCTTCTGGGTTCCTGCCTTGAGTATCTGACTTGGCTTCCACTGATGATGGACTGTGACCCCTAAGCCAAGCAAACCACCCCCAAGTTGGTTTTGGTCATGGCGTTTATTGCAGCAACAAAAACCAAATGTTGAATAGTTAGATTTTTTTTCTCTTAGTTGTAGAGTATGTTCCTTCTGCTCACATATTTCTCAGGCAGATTTTGTTTTTGTTTTCTCTTGTTTCTGAAAAAAAAAACAACCCAGACATTTAAGACACTTGGTTAAAATAACATTAGGCTTACTATTTAAACAGATGAAGTGAAGGAAAAAGAATCTTTTATGGTAACTTTAATCTGGGCATGAATCAAGTTATTGTTTCACTCAATATGATATAGGCTTGCCATGAATCAGATATACAAGCTCTAGGGATAAAACAATTTTTATCCAAGTTTTTTTTTTTTTTTTCAGTTGGGCAATGACTTTACTTCTTGAAGCAGAACCCAATAAAGTAAAATAACATTGTTCTGGAAAGTTGTCCTTGTCTCAAAAACTTTCAAGGATTGGAATAGGCAATTCAGTGTCTATCCTTGCTTAAATCTAGAGAGTTGAGGCAATCTTCATTTCCAGTGCCCTAGAATTCTGCTTCGAGTGGGCTGAATGACAAGGGGCTGAACTCCTCGAGGGAACGTAGTGCACTGTAGGATCTGGAGTGAGTGAAGACAAGTTTCCAATTCCATCCTTTCAAACTGAAAAGGCCTCATGGGAATGACAGCGGGAGGACATCCACTTTTCCCTTTGTGTGTCTCTGTGTGGGGTATGCACATGTGTATGCTATGGCCAAGTCCAGGTTTCATTCTTCAGGAGCCAACCAAAGGTTCTTCATGGGAACCTAGGACTCTCTGGTACCCTAAGGTGGCTAGCCAGGAAGCTTCAGAGGATCCCCCAGTGCTGCTGTGACATGCCTTTGGCTGCCACTGTGCCCTGCATTCTATATGGGGGCTCAGTTTCTGAATTCAGATCCTGGAGTTTGAATGGCAATTGCATTGTTCATCGAACCATCTCAGCAGCCCCAACATAACCCAATTCTTAAAGAAATGATGGTTTTGTTTTCTGAGGCTTATTAAAAAGGTTTAAAAATAGATGGCGGTTCTGTACATTTCATTTTGAAAGATAATTTGTAGACCTCATTGTTCGGATTTCTTTAACTTCTCAAAGAGTATAATAGGAACCAACTTCTCAAGTCTCCAAATGTTCCGAGTTACTAAGCATCTTAAGAGCTACTAATAGCACTAAAGTTTTCACCACACATTTTTTCAAGTTTAATTTTAAAGGCATGGTCTGATAACCTGGTCTGTTAGGCCGACTTACTTAAATTGTGAACCCTCTTCTCAGTACTTGGGATCCATTGGTGAATGGTTTATGTTCTTTGTGGGATGAAACTTCCTGTTCAAATAATTAGATGCAGATGACCATCCTAGGTGGAGGATCTAGTGTTGCAGAAGTACAGAAGGATGGATGAGGAGACCGGGGGGGACAGGGCTAGAGAGCGGGTGGTGGCAGCTGATAGGCATGGATGGTCAAAGTGGTCTCACTCAGCTTAGATCTGAGCACAGGTCTGTAGAGATACTTTGAGTCAGCTGGGTGACCCATTGAGAAGGAGTTTCACACCAGAGAAAACAGAGTCAAAGTCTCATTGGTGAGAAGTTATGCCAAGATGTCACTGGAGCAGGAGCACATGAGTCTGAATGAGACTGATAGGATGTAAAGTCAGGATAACGGTAATGGAAGCCATCCTACATGGGGCTTGTGGGCCAGTTAAGGTTTTTGATGCTCTGTTCTGAGTGATTCAGGGAACACTTGGGAGGTAGAAGCAGAAGGATTGTGAAGTCAGTTTTGAACTTAAAAGGAGACCCAGGCTGGCATATGGAAGAAATGTAGTGCACCAGGGAGAAGCACATTTTCACAGAAGGCAGGGAAGTGTGCATTGTTCTGTGGTGTGAGGCGTTGGTGGGCTTTCCTGGACAGCACTCAGGCTGTTGAGGAAGTGAGGTGACCGGGACTTGAATGCACTTGGAATGTAGACACCGAGAGTTGGATCAGATATGAAAAGGGGATAAATATTTATAGTCCCAGCTTCAGGCAGCTCAGCTAATAATTCAGATTATTTTAACAGAATGGTCCAGTCCTCACACTTCCATGATTCTGAAGAATAATTCCTTTTTGTTCCTCAGGATGTTGAAACAAGCCATCTAAAGCAAACCAAAGCAGCAGGAAGTAAAAATAAACTCTGAAAAGAGGCACACTGGCCAGGGATAGAGGAGGAAGTCGAAAGCTGAACAAACAAGGGTAGGATAATTTTAGAAATACAGATTTCATTTTAACAGGCTATGTCTTCAATAGCTATCTACCAAATGTCATTCATCCAGTCAATATCCACTGTACTAAATGGTACATATGTTTGCAAGTGGGTAATTGTAGGAAGGCTTACCAGCAAATATAGTATAATTCCAACCCTAGTATTTCTTTATATATATATATATATATATATATATATATGTGTGTGTGTGTGTGTGTGTGTGTGTGTGTGTGTGCAAGAAATAGGGATAAGGAAATTCACCTTTCCACTCAGGGTATAAAAAATCATAGGCTTTATGTTTGGGAATTGAGCTGATTTTCAAACTTTGCTATAACTTGGTGTTATGTATTTTTGACTCTTACTTTAACAGTTCCTTTCCACAGCCTGCTAGCATGGCGGCTGTCCCACCACCCCTTCCTGCCTTCTGCTTCCACTGGCCAACTCCAACTCTCTCATTAGCTCCTGACTGAGTGATTGCAATGACAGGCTCTTTCTCTCCCTGCTTCTAATCTATCTTTTCCTTAAAAGGACCCTCAAAAGGTGCTTTTTAACATCACTGATTTGCCTAGAACTCACCATTCATACCAGGTTGGCCTTGAACTCCCAGACCTCTGACTACCTCTGCTTCTAAGGTTAAAGACATGCAGCACCACACCTGGCCCTACTGTGTTTGGCCTTTTACTCAAGGTCACTGAGATTTCACATTTGTTGCCACATTCTTGTCACTAATCTCTCCTTTGTCATTGGCTGAGGAAAATGCCTGTGTTGCCCTGAGTCTTTGAAGCTCGCCTTCTGCATCTGCAGGGAGAAAGTCTGAGCACTTAGGAAGCTTTGGTTCCTATGCCACCCCAATTCCACATTCATAGAATCTTTAAGTCTGCTTCAAGCAGCCCTTCCCTGCCTTCCAAACCATGACAAATTTGCCTTTTTATATTTTTTCTTTCTATTAATCCTTTTAGTTGGCATTCATAGTAATGGATTTCATTGCGGTGTTTTTCATACATGTATGTCATTCTGCTTTGTTCTTATTCTAAATTCTCTCTGTGTTTCTCGAACACTTTTTTAAAAAATGCTTTTTCATGCTGTTATTATAATTGACCTTGTACTTAGGGCTTTATGTGTCTCTGTTATTTATATAATTACCACATTCATTTAAACATGTCTACAATTTTATGTGTATGTATGTGTGCTCGAACTATATATGCACAGCACATTCATGAAGGCCAAGTGGGTGCTGGGAACCAAACCTGGACCCTCTGTAAGAGTAATAAAAACTCTTAATTTCTGAGCCATCTCTCTAGACCTCTGATTACCAAATTATTAAAGTCAGAGGCTATGCTCAATATATTTTTTGTTTATTAGTGATGTTAATAAGTGTGTGTGTGTGTGTGTGTGTGTGTGTGTGTGTGCTTACTCTCACAGAGACATAAATAGATAAGTGTAATAAGAAAAGGCTACAGTCATTAATATGATTTCAGTTTCCTCATTGAAAATATTTCAGACTCAAACATCCAGAAATGAATTAAATCAGATGTTGTCAACAATTCCCTCATTAGAGGAAGCCATGTTGCTTGAGATTATAATGCTCCGTGGGTCTATCTTCTCTCGTAATGCTTCTCTATCCTGAAGTTACCAATTCTATCCAGGAAGTTGATGGAGCTCTGAGGAAGCTCCTCAATAAGAAACCAAACTACTGTGTTGAGATTTTCTTCACAGAGCTAGTCCTCCGAGCCATTCTTTCCCGGCAGTAATTTGTCAACTATGTGTTGGGCACAGATGCAAGAAAAAAAATGGAAGTGTAAAAATGACTAAAAACAGTCTGTTCTCAAGTAGCTCACCAAAAAAGACTTAGCAGTCAATCAGCACTAGCAATAAAAGTTGTCAGATAAAATGGTATTCATCTGGTATGGTAGAAGAAGGCATCAGGTATCGTGACTTCACACCCTGGTGCTATTGAGGAGACTTCTTACAGAACCAGGCATGTGAACTGGCTCTGGAGGAGAGATGCTTTAGTCAAACAGAGATGGGGAGGAGAGAAGGGGCCTATGCCCTGCTGCCTTCATTTCCTTTGCTGTTTTGTGAGTATATGATATACATAGTTCACAGAAGACTAGGATGCTATGCCCAGTGTTGCCTACCGGTAGCTAGAGAATCTTGGAAATCACAAGCCTTGTTTTGGCACTATGTTGCTTACAAAAAATAGTCACAGATGTGAGTCTTTTGAAATGTGCTCATGTCCAATGTGTTCCATATCACTTGCTTTCTGGTTCATGACCTCTAACATCTAACACACAGTATTTCCCTTCTCATTTTGTTTTCCATCTTCCCTAATTCTTTTCATTTTTTCTTTGCTGTTTCATTATTCACTCCTGTTTTCTTTTTATTTTAAAATAAAATCTAGGGCAGGGGAGATGGCTCTGTTGGTAGAGGGCTTGGTTTTCAAGCATGAGGGCCTGAGTCTGATTCTCAGAATCTATTTAAGAATCCTGGTGTGTCGATGAGCTTCTTCTCTCTAACAAAGGGAAGCTGATCAAATGGAAGGCGAGATTGACCAAAATAGTTCACAATAGGAAAATGTGCCAGGACTGGAGCAACATGTGCGTTTTATGTTAACAGTTATTTTGTAGATCCATCTTATGGGCAAAATATCCCTGCGTTTATTTGGATAGTATGGGGCCTGTATGTTCCTCTCCTGGAGAAGTAGGACTTACAGATCTTGGATCTCTTTGTTAATTGGTCTAGGTGACTTACGGTACCCAGCAGTCAAGCTATTTCACATTTGGCCAGATGAAACATTTTCATGCCTGAGGTCATTTTGTATCCTGTGACATGAAATTTCTTATCTTATATCTAGGCATTTTAGTGTCATGTTAATATCCAAAGTAGGTTTATTTCTGGACTGAAGAGATGGATCAATGATTAACATGTTTGCTGCAAAAGCATGAAGACATGAGTATAGATCCCAGATGATGAATAAATGCTGGGTCGCTGTGGTGGCTTGCTTGTAATTCCAGCTTTAGAAAGTGGAGACTAGCCACATCCGTGAGCTTGGTGATTGATGGAGAGACCCTGTATCAATGATTAAGGTGGAAAAGTGATTAAAGAATTCCCAACATCATCCTCAGGTTTCCAGGAATACATGTGGAAACACATATTACATGAATGCACAACACATACATATGAAAATGGGGCACAGTAGATGTACAGAGAATTTGGCAGTCTATATCCACTGAGCACCCAAGACAATACATATTAGTTAATAGCAGTTTTCTCATTAAAATCTCAGAGCACAGAGCCTTCACAATTCACAGTAATGTACTGAGTTTGAACATAGGCAAGCATTCTGACTTGGTTGCCATGTTTCTGAGACTTTGAAGAGGATCCAAATGTTTTCTTCAGTTTTATACTTTTAATAATCTCCATCATGGCACTTTGCTAATAGGATTGTCCAGTAGGATGATGACATGAAACTGAACCATCAACTCCCTTCTCCGTCTTATGCCATGGGAGATATAGGGTAACCCAGAGAACAATGAGTCTAGATATTTGGATTTTATTGATGAATAATGTTAAAAATGGAGGAAGCTGCCAGATCTTTTACCTGGTATGGATGGTTTGCATTAAAAAAGTAAACTCGCTTGAAATAACTGCTTAGTATTACCATTTGCCCAAATTCTCAAACTATTGTAACATTAAAATGGAACTCATAGAAAATCTTAGCATAAATGGTGTCTGTGTCAAGAGAATGTCCTTATTGGTGACGTGACCTTGGCCATGGTACTATGTCAGTGGATCGATGAAATGTCCTTCAGGGTGGTCATTTACCCTTGGAGAGCATGCTAGGAAGCTGAAGTATAGGATGCTGAAGCCTGTCACCATCAGTGGGGAAGCCTTGGCTTCTCTCTCATGAATTCAGAGGCTATAAATATGTTCTTGTCTCACTTAGTGGAACTATATTAAAAACTGTAAGTGGTTGGGCCTGGCAAGACAGTGCCGTAGGTAAGGATGCTTGCTGTTAAGCCTGATGATCTGAGTTCAATGCAAGGAACCCACATGGTGGAAAGAGAATGGCTTCCTCTGACCTCTAACACATGCTGTGGTATCTGGACTTCCTCCTCCCAGTCACAAAGTAGTAACATGAAAATTTGTAATTGAAACTTTTTATGTGATTTATGTTTGGCAATTTTTAATCTAGATAGTTATGGATGGATATTTGATTATGTGCTAAGGAATAGGTAAATGTTACTCAATGGTCTCGCACCTGCTAGGAAGTAGTCTTCTACTGGGCCACACCCCAAACCTCCACTTTCTTTCTATTAGTTACTTTCCTCAGCTGTTTTTGCTCATTTCATTGTGAATGACAAGTTATCATTGTACCCACAAGCATTATAAAAAATGTTCTAAGAGAGTCTTTAAGTTGTTGGAGAGGCTTGAAATTTTGAGTCAATTTTTTTGATACAGAGATTTTTCAGATCTTATATGGTGAACTGAAAATTACACCAATCAGTTCTAGAGACTGGTCCCTGGGGGCTGCCATACATTAATAAGTATCATAGGTTGGTCCTTTGACTTTTTTATTCCTGGTCACTTTTTCAAATAATTCTGGGAGAATTTTAGTAAAAACAAAATGAAGAGAATGGTAATTTAATCACAATGTCTCTCCTCCTCTTCCTCCTGATTTCATTTGTGGAAAATAGGCTGCACGGCGGGCGTCATCTTCTTCACCTAAACTGAGAGACTCATCGTGCTCTTTCTCCTCCCTGGAAAATGCAGTAAAGGCTCCCAGCCCATTTTCTTCCTCGGGATCTAAAGAAAGACAGTCCTGGAACAACCTAGTTAACAATGCGCCTGTTGCTGAAGATGTGGGGCATCCTCTGGCATTTACTGTTCAGGTCCATACACCTGCATGCTCAGAGGCAAGCAATTGGCAGGCCCCAGAAAATAGCTCTGTCACCTCAGAAAGTGGATTTTTGAACTCTTTATCTAGTGACGACACTTCTTCACTGAGCAACAATCAAGATCATCTGACAGTCCCAGACAGAGCTTCTGGATCAAAGATGGTGGACAGAGGTAATGTAGGAAACTGCTTACTCTTCTTTAGATGGTGAATATTTGTGGGAGTGTTATAGAGCTCTGATATAAATTTGTAACTCAAATGTATAAACCCATAAATGGCAGTTTGATAATTAGTCACATGGGGCTTAGCTTCTAGCTCCTTTTGTAGTTTGCCTGTGGCAGATCCTTTTGCCCGGCCACTAGTTATTACCTGTTGTGAATGTCAATAATCTAAAGCTTCAGACCAGTGGTTCTCAACCTTCCAAATTTTGCCATCCTTCAGTACAATTCCTCATGTTGTGGTGACTCCCAACCATAATTTTTTTCAGTGCTGCTTCACAACTGTAATTTTGTTGCTATTATGAATCATATTGTAATTATCTGTGTTTTCTAATGGTCTTAGGCAACCCCTGTGATAGGGTCCTTTGACTTACAGAGGGGTCATGATCCACAGGTTGAGAACCACTGCTTTAGACTATGAGGCAGGTAGGCATGTGATTGTAATGTAAATATCTCCATCAAGTTGAGAATGAATCATCCCCCTTTTTTGGTTCCATAGTCTATGCTCTGGGGTTTTGTGGTAAGTAAGCCCCAGGGATTGGTGAGATGGATTTGTATTGCTTGGATGTTATCAAATGGGTTTAGAGCAGCCATTGTAGAGGGCCAATCAGTGGTCTCCTAAGTTCTCTTTGTGATTAATGAAAGGCAACAACTTCGAATGCAGTTTGGAGGGCAGCAGACTTACTATAGAAAAGGCAACAACTTAGATTTCTGGAAAACAGTTTGCTCTTAACCAAGGAAACGATTGTGTATAGGAATCAGTAATGTGTCTTTACATATTCTGTGGTAATCGTCATATTTGATTTAGGACAGACTTGGTTCTATTATTGTTCATTCATGACAAGTCTTTTCTGATTGTGCTTCACTCATTCTGCTGTTATAAACAAGGTTATCTGATATGTCAGTGAGCCACTGGAGAATGGTGGTTTGCACTGTAAGTTTTCAGTGTGCTGCTGAAAGTGGGCTTGCAGGAGTCGCCCAATACATAAATGATGACTCTTTCTCCTCTACCCCAATCAGGGAGGCTGTCCTTAAGTTCTCAAGTTTCAGGGCTACAGAGGTGGTTGGCTAGTTTAGAACACTTGCTGTTCTTTTGTAGGACCTGGGTTCGGTTCCTCACACCCACATTGGGGGACTCACAATCACTTGTATCTCCAGGCAGGGCAATCTTCTATCCTACACACACACACACACACACACACACACACACACACAGAGAAAGAGAGAGAGGCATACACATATACATGTGAATAGATAATAATGTCAATCCTTTAAGAAAGTATCATTTTTTCAGTTTTACTCTATTAATTTAATTTTCCAAAGAGAATAATTTAGGTCAGGGGTCACAGCCATAGGCCAGGGTGCAAGTGTGTGTGTATGCATGTTATTTTAATGTATGTGAATTTGAACAGCCACACTAGTAACTCATTCTCGAAATCACCCAAATTGTCATTGCTGCCTTTGGCTTTCTCTGAGGATGCTTTACATGAAATATTATTTTATATTGATACCTCCAATGTGGGCCAACTACTGACTTTTCAGTAGAAAACCTTCACTAAAGAGTGAAGTTATTGGCAAGGTGAGCGACTTCTAGAGGTGGTTGAGTAAGTAGGATGTGCAAGAGACAGAAAGCATCACCACTGAGGTAGAGGGCAGAGATGAGAATTGTTCTAAGAGGGAGGGAAGGAGTGTGCTCCATCTGGCAACAAATATACAATGGGATGTTGTGAAAACAAAATATTGGGCTTAATTATATCTCCTTCCACTTATGCAATTGAGGTCAGTGGTATAATTAAATTGGAGGTATAAACGTGAGTTAAGAAACTTGTTTTTTTGAAGCTATGAGCTGTTCAAAGTAAACTAGGTAGCTTGTACCTGTGTGTCCGAATCAATGGAGGTGTTTATCATTTGAAGATGGGTGTTTTCATTGAGAGTAGAGTGTGTGTTGCGTATTGATAGTATTTTTGTTCTTGTGAGGACACAAAGAATTTTCAAGTGTTGATCTTAAGTGACCTTCAGCCTGGTGCTTACAAGATGCAGATATGGTCTTGCACACATCCAAGAATATATGGGCAGCACAAGTTAGATTGAAGGTTTTTGTTTGCTTGTTTCTAAAGGACACAAAATTGGGAGGGTAGGGATGAGGACATAGAACTTGGAAGAACTGTGGAAGAGGAAGTAAATAGGATCAAAACACTGTGCAAAAGTCTCATAAAATAAATAAACAAATGAAAATAAATGTAAAAAAAAGAAGTTACAGATGTTAAGAATGGGAGAACCAAACAAACTATTGTTCCCCTTTAAGAACTTACGTAATCATTCCATTAGAAGGAGAAGGAAAAGAGGGGTTGACAAGATGGCTCAGTGGGTAAGAAGCTTGTAATATAAGCCTGACAACTCAGTTTTGAGCCCTGGACAAACATAAAAGTGGAAAAAAAAAAACTGACTCCAAAAAGCTGTCCTTTGAATCTGCACATATATTGTGGCACACATGTGCACACCCCACCTCATGCAATGCAATGCAATAATAATAATAAATAAATTTAAAAAGATGTAGAAATAACAGCCTCCTCTGTGACAACGAAGACTTCCAAAGCATCAGAGATACTAAAATTCCATTTGCATTCTTTCCCAAGAGATAACCATGCAGATTGAGTTTCCCTTTAGGATTAATAGACAGAGTCATGGGAAGATGCATGTGTTTCTCATCCTTGTCTAAGTGCCATCCTGGAAATTCATGTGCTGAGGAACCCAGCTGGGAGCCAACAGCTCTTTTAATATAAAAATAAAGAGACCTGGTAGTAATCACACAGAATGACCAACAAAATCTAGGTGATTTTTCAAATAGCTTGATGGAAAGGTATTTCTCCTGGTAGAGAGGGGGAGAAAATGAAGGTATTTTCCCCTCACTGGTTTGTTGGCAGTTCTCATATGTTAGAGAATTCTTGCTGCTGATTTCCTCCTGCTGTTGGGGATTTGGTTTCATTCCCAGAAGAGCTGAACCACATCGAGTCATCTCCATGGAAACCACAGCCTAATCTTCCCTTGTGTTTGCTGTGACTTGCTGTTGAGTAATCAAATTGGGTGTTGCACATGTATATGTTTGCCTGTTGGAAAAGAAGGTAGATTTTTTGTGTGACTTCTAAAATTTATTGTTTTGACTTTCCAATGTGGGGATGAACCTCTGAAATTTCAGTGTCCAAAATACTATGCTAAGGATTTTAGATTAGACTTGAAGTTTCAGTGTCATCCACAAAACGAGTTAAAATTTCAGAAGATTAAGATCTAGTCTCATGACACGTTTTCTGGGGAAAGAGAATTTTATCCTTGAAAAGAATCTTAAAGGTTAATAGCTGAGTTCTGAAAAAAGCAGACAGCATGTATTATAGCCTTTCTTTTATTTAGACAATGGAAGAAATATTTTGCAGTTGGTATGCAATTAAAATTGTGGTTGCTAGAATTTTATTCTGAATTCAAATATCCTTTTAGACACTTCTCCCTGTCTTGTAAGCCATTAGAGAAAGAGGAGTGGATGTTAATGACATCACCTTGCCTTTCTCCCCAGCAACTTTCAGATTGCTGCAACTCTAGAGATTCTCTCAATAAGCCTTTCAACACAGCAGAGCTGCAATAGAGGTGGAGGGGTTAATGGTGTGCTCACCTCATCTCTGTTTTACTATGGCATTTTCTGACATTGCTGTGAAGTAGAAGACTCACAAGCAGATTAAAAAGAAACTACGTCTAATACAGAACTCAACTCAATTCAGCATTTCTGTTACTATTATGAAGATGGTTCTAACATGTGCTCATGTTCTTTGTGCTAACACAACTTTAAAATCTAAAGATGAGTGTGCTAAAGCATCTTCACGTCTAATGGGGTGGGTGGGAGGCTAAGACATGATTAACAAAAGAGAGCAAGGCAGAAGAGTGTCCCAAAGGAGATACACAGGGATTTACAAAAGCAGGTACAGAGAGCACAGTCCCATGTAAGGGAGCCCTGTGGGAGGTAGGAGGGAAATTGGGACAATACTGAATGATGACTAGGCATCAACAGATAATGCATGACCATTTGTAACTGATGTAGCATATGAACCTGTGATGTCAAAGAGTTCCTTTAGTCTGAGATCACAGGCTACCCTAGGATAAAGGGAGGCAGGAACTAAGGGGTTTGTGGTACTCAGGGTAAAGTTAGAAACTGGAAACAAAGGAGAGATGGAGGATTCTGTGCCCTGCCTCATCTCAGCCTGGCATTGTTCACTTAGAATTTAATTTAGTTCATAGAGTGTTTCCCAGTGATATTATTTTGCAGTAGGATGAGAAATGATCTTCAAGTGGTGATAAATATTTACTAATAGGAACATATTGTATATGTGACAGTTGGCTGTCATGGCTTGGATCTCAGGCATGGATGAATGACTCACGGTGTCTTTCATGGCTCCCAGTTAAGTGTCAAAGATCTCTCTTAATTACCATAAAATAAACTGATTAGGTTGTCTGCAAATCAGTCATACCTCATAACTATGTCATTTGTGGTACTTAGATCTTTATCACCTTTTTATTCCTTCTTAGTTTTATACGTCTTTCCGAGGCTAAGGAAGTAGGAGTGGGAGGCTGTGGATTCTCACTGGAGCAGGAGATCTGAAGCTGGTGACAGTGAAGTCTAGATTCCAGAAGTAGGAAAGTGGGGAGGCAGCTGGTAAGAAGTGATGAGGTTAGAGGTCGTAGCTAAAGGTGGAGGGTGGGTGTGTCCAGGGGAACGCACATATGCACGGTGCAGGAGGATGCCTGTGTTGAGAAGGGAGTGTTAAGGGGGAAGGCTTTTATGTAAACACCTTCATGAATTGAAAAAGTGCTTTAAAAGAACTCTTTTCTGTGTCCCAGCTATACCAGATACACCCCTGCTCATGGCTGTGACTCCTTCTCAGAACACCAAATTTATTCCCCTGAAAAGAGAA